ATTTTCCCTCAGCATTTATGAGGGTCCTGTTGTTCTATCTCCAACGAGGATATTTCTGTCCCCTCTTTCAGGCAGATTGCCAGATCTGCCTAGCCCATTCCCCGAATTTACATTTTGTTTCCCTTCTCTCCCTTTTTTTTCTTCCCTCTTTGGGGAGCCAACACCAAGGTCCACCAGAAGATTTACCTCTAAGTGGGGGTAAGTTGAGTGTGAGAGAGAGACCTGGTATCTCAGGTTGTAGTGGCTGATAAATGGTTTTGGTTGGGATTGTCAGGGTGAGCATCTAGCGCAGGAACTGGGAAAGCACAAAAACAGAACAAGTAATTACTGAAAAATTCTACCTGTCTCTAGAAATAACATTGAAGATCGGTGTAATTCTTTTTTTTTTTTTTTTTTTTGGTGAATATGGAGCAGGCAGCTTTGCTTGGTCTTCTGGCCTGTCTCTTAGCAGCATGGGTCTGGCAGCAGAGAATTGCCTCAGGTACCAGTGGCTGCATTGCTTGGCAGGGCACATGCAAAAGTAAAGTCGTACCCTTGCATTGAACTCTCTGTATAACTTGCAAATCAGCACAAAGTCTAGCAAGGAACGAATAAATAGGGGGAAAAGGGGGGAAAATAGGCTTCTACAGCAGTTGACCCTGAGCCCATGAGATCAGAGAGGGCTTCAGATCCTGAGAGGCTGATTAATGCTAGCTCAGTGTTCGATAACCTCTGGCTTCTTGAATGTCATGTTTGGAGGATGAAGTGGAAAATATACCCCTGTGAAAATGTTCAAATTCAGGATGTTGCTCAAACTGGAAGTCCAAAGGACCGTGTAGTTTGCTTTTCTGCCCTTATCAGTTGTTCAAATATATGCCTCGGTCTCTGACTTTTCTAGTAGTTGTAGTGACTGTAACTATAAAAACAAACGTCCACCTTGTGGGGAAAGGAGGATTGAAAAAGGCACCTTCTCAGCAGACACCTCAAACGAAAGTTTATTAAGACAACCAAGCCCAAAACAACAGAACTGTGCTCCACTATAACACATAGTACTCACAATGCCTTTTTAACAGAAAAAGAAATCTCTTCCCAACAGTGTGGTGCTGGGCTTTGGCCTGGGTTTTCGAGCTGTGGATTCTTCTGCACAGGGAGACAACCTCTTTGCCAGAGGAGTTGTGGCTGACTGTATCTGCACCAGTCAAGCGTGCAGTGCAGCAGGAGCAGGCCAGTAGATCAGGCTTCAGTTTTATGGGGTTTGTCTCCTTACTTTTCTTTGCATTCAGGTTAGCCTGCTCCCCAGACCCACGGCCCTCCCTGTGCATGCTCTGCATAAGGTCTTTGAAGAAAAACTGACCCATTGACCTCTGCTCCTTGGACTGTTCCTCCAGGAAGTGTCGAATTGTCACCTGTCCCCTTTCACAGGAAAGGTGCTAGCACATCATTTCCTTGCCACTAGTGCCTGTGTAAGCCTCTTGTGGGATCAAAGTTAATTTCTGTTCCTGCTCGCTTGAGTGACCCATTCAACCTGCTGCCTTAATCTCTTCTTTACTCTGAGATTGTTGTGTTTGTTTTTTTTTTTACCACCAGCTGCCCAAGGAGCACGACCAAATGACCAAACTCTCACCCTCCAGGACATTCTGTAGTTTGAGGAACAAGACAGAAGTCACAGCTTTCTCAGAAGTTTTGTAGCTGTTCTATCTCTGTCCCTGGTGGGCAGGTCTGGTCTAGCAGGATGCTCTTGCCCTCGAGACATGAAATGACCAGCAGTGGGCACAGAGCCTTTGAGTATGAAAGGTCAAGGCCTTCTGCCATCAGATGGCACCGCTGTCTCTGCTGTCACCAAATGAAACATGAGCAGCCCAGACCTTGCGCAAAGGAGGGGCTGTCACCTGTAAAATCGCACGACCTTCAGTTCCTACTACCAGTGGTGAGCTGATGTGGGGTGAGCGGGTCCAGTCTGGGTGTAGTCCAAGGCTGTCTTCCAAACCTTTTAGCTTAGCATGTGGGTAGTGTCAACAAGATAACCCGGGCCTTTGCTCTCGGTGGATCCCCAGACAATGTGCGTGTTGAGTCCAACCTGCTGCCTGGCCCGGAGCCACCATTAGGTAAGCAGTAGGGGCAGCCATTTGGCAGTCCTGCAGGCCTCAGGCCATGGAATGGGGTTTCTGGGCCATGGCCTCGTATCTTGCCTTGTTGAGGTGGAACGTGTTTCCTGGTCCTACCCCTGCAAAAAGTGAGTATTTCCAATTTCTTCTGAATCACAGGTGGCTACTGAACCCTCATGGGACTGAGAAAATGGGTGAGTCTTTTCTCAGGCCTTTCCATCCTCTTCTTGCAACTCCTTCCATGCTGAGCCTTCAGGGACCCTGCGAGACATCTATAGGAGGAGGATCATCACTAGGGAAGCATCAGGAATTGGCCTGGAGCACTGCTGCTCACCCTCGACGACCAAATGTAGTGAATGGCTTTCAAGTTTTCACACCTCTCAAAATATGAAAGAGGGAGCAGAGTGAAGGGAAGTGTGTTGCTGTGCTTGACTGCAGCAAGAGCTATTCCTATTCCAAAGAAATGGGAACATCCCACATTATGGTCACGGTCAACCATAGATGAAATTGAAAACACTGATGTGTGTAGTGCCTCCACCTTATTATCAGCGCGTACCCCACTCTGCTGGGAAAGTAGGTGGCCAAATGTGAGGGTCTTTGTGGGAAGCCCTGGAAGAGCTATGTTAGCAGAACGTGCTGTGTGCTTGGTGACCAGGACTGAGCAAGGCTTTTGTGCAGGGCAAGGAGTGGAGTGATACTTTCTGGTGTAACTGCCTGCTATGCCACGAGCAACAGCAATCTTTTGCCCTTGTGGAATAGCTTTTAAAGGCACCTCGGCCTTCCCAGTCAGACTGCTGATGTTTGTTTTGACTCTTAGCACATGCAAGATCAGTGCACTGCAATTCTGTTTGAACTCTTGTTCACACACCCTTCTTCCCTAGCGATGGGTATAGAAAAGCAGTGCATTTACCTGCGTTGGAATCAGAGAAGTTAATGCACATCCCTTTGTTTGGAGGTAGGGTTGACGATGTGCCCAAAGATCTGTGCCACTGATTACCAGTCCCCTTCTACTCACAAGTCATCAGTCTTGCTCCTTGGTTAGTTGGCCACCTCTTGGCACTGGAGATGCCTTGGCCCCCGTTCAGCATAGCATGATGAGCAATTCTGCTTCAGTGTGACTTGAGGTGTCACCATGCTGGGCCTTCTGTGAGGCTGAAGGGGTTGATTTTGCTGTAGAAAAGGACAATTGGAAAGAGCACATACAAAATAAAACTAAAAAGTGGCAGCGTTCAGCAGTGAAGAAGGCTACAGAAGAGGGAGGGCAGATGTTGAGGAAAGAGAAATGGTACTGAGGCAAGAGAGGCCGCAGTGGAAGATGGTTTATGAAGAATTGGGAGATGGCGGTTCAAGTTGAACACGAAAGCACACTACTTAGGGCTGTGGTGTGCCCTTGGCACTTTTCTCTGTTTAGCAGAGGGTATTCCAGGCATTGCATAAGGCTGCCGGAGTCTCCTGCTGACTGCTTGAGATACACTGGAGGACTTTGGGGAGGCGCGGCCTGCCTGTCGCATTGGATGCTGGTGTCGCCCGTGGGCTCTGGGGCGAAGCTCAGTGGATCTGCAGGTTTGGTTTCATCCTAAGGAAGTCTGGTATGTGCACACCAAAATCATCCTGTGACGGAAATCAGTGGCCATAAGCAGAAGTTATGAGGTATTCCCTCCAAAAGCAGAGCAGTGCTGTGGCTTAATGTACAGTTTTAGGTCACCTGAGGCGGTGGCTTCCTCAGTGCCTTTGCTGGCTATGGCTAGGTCTCAGTGATGGTCTTGCTGGGCTTTCCTTGCTGCTTTTTCCAGCTTGTCATACTAGGGGCAGGTGCTGGAGGTCTTGTTGCAGCCTTAAGTCCTCTGAAAGAAGCTATTTTTGTAGCCCATGTGTTGGAGACGATTCTCCGGACTGCAGCACTGCTGTCCTGGGAGTGACCCCCACCCAAGTTGCTTGTTTGGATGTGCCCTTGTGAGTCTGTGTGCCTGGCTCTCGTTAAGGAATCAGCTCGTATCTTTAGGATGTCTGCAGGGCTCTGCTCGGAGAGGCACGTTGGAGGGCTCTAGTACTGAGAGGGGTATGTGAGAGACTCTGTGTCTGTAATTACAAATGGGTTATACCTAGCTGCATGTTACTGCCTTTCAGTGGTTATACAGGTGGTTTCACAGGGTGTATGTGGTCAGTTGGACACCAGAGTACTAACAAAAGCCACAGAACAGCTTAATTTGGACATTAAATGATACAGCAGAAGGGAAGAGAGCCAAAGGTGAGAGAGAAGAGGAAAAAAGACTTATTCAAAATGCATGGTTCTGGACAAACTTTTCTTGCCATGCTTATTCTGGAATTTAATCCGTTTTGAAAAGGAGATTACTCAGTTCACAAAAGGTAGACAAAGGTGAGCTCAGTGGATTCTAATCCAGGAAATAAGGATAAATTTGTTATCCCTTCTTCCACAGCTGTACTCCTGAGCAAACTTTGTGTTGATTATGGGACATGGGTTTGGGTTGGTTGTGTGTTGTGTTTTTTGTTTTTTTTTTTTCTTTCTTTCTACAACTTTGGATGTTTCTGTTGCCTTGCTTTGGGGTACTTTACAATGATAAAGTGTTCTTTGGTAGTAAACGAGGAATTTTTTTGATGAATTTTATGTAGTTGAGAGGATTCTTGAATTAGAGCTATTTCTTTTTTGTTTGCTTGAAGACTAAAAATTAGACTACAGCTGAATGGGAAACATTTTAGCCAGTGGAGGAGGGGAAAAAAAAAAAAAAAAGAAAGCAGTTAAAACTGGGTAGTACAGTTAGGTGAGTTTGCTGAGTTGAAAACCTTCAGAGCAGCTTGTTTTAAAATTGTGTAAATATAAACTGAAGTCTTGTTGGCTTCCATAGTGCAATAGTGATGCAGTGCAAGGTCTTCAAAGGCAAATATTCAAGGGTCAGTCTGCGGTTGATGTAATGAGACACATATACTTTTAACTTGTAAAAGCCTATAGTGTAGAAGTAGGGATTTTCCAAACCTTGTGGCAAATTGCAAACTGAAGTAATCTGCACTGCATCAATTTGGTAATAACCTGACTCTGACTGAACTTATTCACTTGATGTCAGTGTGTGCAGTGAGACGTTTCTGGTTCAGTTTCATGCTGTGGAGTCCCTTTCTTGTCTTTTGTTTATTCTGAGATTAGAGAGCTGTCGATGCGTAGGTAATGCCAGTTGGAAAAAAGCTTGGAGAGTATGGCTGAGTGATGAGATACGCCTCTTGTAGATAGGGGTTATCTGGAAAGAAGATTGTGTCCTTCAAGGTCAGAGGAGAGAAGCTTGAAGTTTATATACAGGGGTAAGTATTTTATCAGCGTCTTTCCCCTAATACCCTAAGTTTTCCTGTTATGCTATATTAAGAAATTTAGCACAACTCAAACTTCTAAAATAACTGTGGCTGGGTAACAGGTACCTTTCTAGAGCAGGAAATTGAAATACTATTAGCCTCAAAATATATTAGCGGATTTTTTGATGATATAAGACCCTGTCTTAATTTATTTTCTTTCTTTTTTTTTAATGAAAGCTTACTACAACTAGGAATAGCTTCCTTGACACAGTCTGCTTTTCCTGTCTATCAGAAGTATCTCTTTCCCACACAAATAACCCACGCCTTTGATAATCTGTATCCTGCCCTTGAAAACAAATTCTAAGCTAATTTGCATAAGATCAGAGGCATGATGATATTGAGGTAGAATAAACACTTTGGAGGTAATGGGACCTGAGTCTTGTGGGCAAGAAAGTGACAACTCTAAGGAAACAGAATAAGGAAGAGAGAAGTAATCTCTTATTGCTTGAATATTGCCCAAGATGCTACTGTTGCTGCTGACTTGAGATTTAGATGAAGTATCTTGTGTCCTGGAGCTGGAGGTGGTGCTTTCATTTTGCGTTTAATAGCTATCCCAGAAGGTTTGTTGAATTATTTTTTTATTTTTTTTTGGGGGGGGGGGCAGAGGTAGGAGGGAGAAGTCTTGTACTGGCTTACACCATTCAAAATACTTCTTAAATTCAGACAGGCTCAGTGCAGTGACCACTTCCCTGGGGAGCCTGTTCCAGTGTGCAACCACCCTCTCCGTGAAGAACCCCCTCCTGATGTCAAGCCTAAATTTCCCCTGCCTCAGCTTAACCCTGTTCCCGCGGGTCCTGTCACTGGTGTTAATGGAGAAAAGGTCTCCTGCCTCTCGACACCCCCTTACGAGGAAGTTGTAGACTGCGATGAGGTCTCCCCTCAGCCTCCTCTTCTCCAGGCTGAACAGGCCCAGTGCCCTCAGCCGTTCCTCGTACGTCTTCCCCTCCAGGCCTTTCACCATCTTCGTAGCCGTCCTCTGGACACTCTCCAACAGTTTCATGTCCTTTTTATACTGTGGTGCCCAGAACTGCACACAGTACTCGAGGTGAGGCCGCACCAGCGCAGAGTAGAGCGGGACAATCACCTCCCTCGACCTACTAGTGATGCCGTGCTTGATGCACCCCAGGACACGGTTGGCCCTCCTGGCTGCCAAGTTAGTAGTTCTTAAGTGCAAGACTAAGGTGTTGCATCAAAATAAAATGACAGAAGGGTTAGGCTCAGGAGTTTGCTTTGTTTTTTTTTTTTTTGTTTGTTTTTTTAAGCACCTCTTTGTAACTGAGAAAATGTTATTCTGTGTGTACTCATAACCCTGAGGCAAGTATGGTTGAATGGGTGGTGTGACATGCATGTTGCAGTGCTCATCAAGCTAAGATTCATAAAGCAGGCTTTCCAGTAGAATATGTTTCCTGGTAATGCTTCATCAGGGATGGTGTTTTTTATTTTTTTCTCTCCAGTGAGAGACAAAGGAATAAATATAGAACAACTCAGGTGCTAAAAATATCCACATGCATTGACGTCTACTTCTTTTTTTTTTTTTTTTCTTTAAAAGAGACCTTTTGGCTATTTAGCAAGATGCTTCATATCTGCTCAGAATCATTCTGGCTGCAGTGATTTTTGAGGGAGAGACAAGTCAGCTGATCTTAGAGAATAGTTTATCTTGGTTTGACTTAAGATTGCAATGTGGGAATAGACCAGACGGTAAAGAAGAGACTTGGTGTGGGTAATGGCACAAGAAGTTAGTTTAATCACTGTAGCTGTAGAATATGGGCATTTACAATCTCAGAGATTAGAAGACTGCTCAGCTCTTGTGTTTATGGAAAAAAGATACTAAATATCTCAGTCAAACACTGAGATACATGGTAGATCTCAATGAAAAGATGGTCCCTTGATAGGAAAACTGCTTGTACTGAATGGCTTCAGATACAGTCTAAATTCTGGCCTCCTTTTAAGTGTGAGATGAGGAGATGAATAATCTTCCAAAAGATCTCTAATCTTAGAAGCTGAGATTTTTCAGAGCAGGAGAACGATATACGTGAAATGGATTTTGAAGTCATTCTCAGTTTGCAGATGATCTGCTGCAGACACGGTTCCTTGCACATAGTTTGCCACTGAGTACATTTCGAATAGCCTTTAGAGATCTGCGTTCTGAGAACAAACTGGTGAATCAATTAATGTATTTAAATTAGTTGAAAATTAGACTATTGCTTCAGTGTCCTGCCAGGCAGGACTTCAGAATTTATTAATTCGGCCTCACGTTCCTTTATTTACAAGCGGTGCCTATGTTTCAGTGTCCAGAAGCACTGAGATCAGCCAGAGCAGGTGCATGCTGCTCCTCCTACTGCTGCCAAAGGGGATGCTGCTCGGGGAGGAAGGGTCGAGGCTTTTTGGCATCTTGCAGGTGTGCAGCAGCTGCTAGTTTAGAGCACAGGGAGCCAGAGGGGACCCAGGAGGTGTCAGCCCTCCTTCCTGACAGATGTTAGCCTGGCCTGCTTGTAAAGGCTTCTGGCAACTGCCTCCCCATACATGATGTGATTTTGCGTCACCATCTTTCCTTCATGAAAATAAGTTTCTTTAAAGCCAGCCTGGCACGGCTGTGGGGGACCAAGTCGTTCCTGCAGCCCCCTGCGTGTTTCAAACCATGACCATGTCCTGGCCATCACCATCCCTTCACCGCTGTGCCGCTGCCTCCCCATTGCCACCGCTGCGGCCACTTCTCCCTTTCCAATTTAACAGCAGCTCAGATGTGAATCACGGTTTAGGCGTTAAAAATAGCTGGCACCTGCTCCAGCCACGCTCAGCCGGGGTGAGCTGGGGCCCTGCTGCTGCCTGTGCCAGCCATGGGGCTGGCGGGAGGGCTGAGGTGAGGCCTTCTCCACCCGCTGCCGGTGGGGCAGCCCCGGCCCCTCAGAGGGCCCTGCATCACCCGCTGGTGGGCTCATCAGCTGCACTCGTGGATGATTAATAAAATACTCGTTTTCTGTCTCTGCAGCTGTGTTCTCTTCTATTTATTTTCCTCTGTTTTTAACTTCAAAAAAAAAAAAAAAGTTTACTCTTGCTCAGTTTGGCCAAGTCCAAAGTCCAAGCTAGGACAACGTAAAGATAATGCATCCTATTAGGAATTACCTTATTATTTCAGATTATAATTAGCTCAAGCTCCATCAGCCTTCTGGAAATCTTATTTATGTATTTCTGATTAACTAGAAATACTATAAAGATAGTAATAAAAAAATTCCCATGTGTAAACAAGGTGGTGGTGGGGGGAACACTAGTTCAAAGGCTGAGGGCACATATTTTTCTGGAGCAGTTAACACTAGGCTGTGGCATGTAGCTCTGTTAAAGATGTGCATTTGGAAAAGAAAAAGAAAAAAAATCTTGGCCACTTCTTCTTGGAAAGGAATATGTGGAATATATCTGACTTCTTGAGATCCTGAAGAGCTGATGCATGTAAAATTATCGTCTCCTTCACTGCAATAACTTCGCCCGTAACAGAGAAGAGCACTTTTTTCTCAGAATACAGCTGTATTTAACTGTACTTCCCTTGTCTGTGCTATTGAGTGAGACATGACAGCTAACGCAGCTAGTTTCACCGCTGCCCATTCAGATCTTACGTGCGGAAGCTCAGAATTTTAAAGCTCTCTTTAAAAGGCTTTTACTTTCTTAATGCAGACTGCGAAGGCTTTTGGGCAGGGAATAAATGTCTATTTAGGTCTGCAAGTGCTTTAGAACACATTTTATTTCTAAAACTTGCTCTTCATGTTCATTAAAGTTCCTAAGTAGGTTACTGTTCTATATCCTTTTAATTTCACTTGTCTTTGAGTTACGAATAAACAGAAATACATGTAATTAGTTTAGTCAGGAGGAGCAAAAGAGCTACAGAGGAGTAGGAGGATCCTTCAGCAACAAATAGCTGCCATGCAGGTTCGTGGCCAGTGCTGGGATGTGGCTCTCTTGCCAGCAGGTTGCTGGTGCTAGCGCTGACAGCAGTGGGTGCTTTGCAGAAGCTTGAAAGCTTGAAGTGTCTCCAGAGTCGAGGCAGAGCATCAGGTGGACAACAGCGAGGCAGGTGAGGAGCAGTATTTGAGAATATTTTTAGCCAAGCCTGCTTGACTCACGACCCTGGTGACAGCCCCTTGTTAAAAGGTATTTAGTGTGGAGAGGGGAGAGGAGTCTGTAGGTGAGCTCAAGGAGATGTTGTTTGTCTACGTAAGGGTCTTGGGAGGCTACAGTCTTCAGATCCACTACGTGGTTGGTCTGAGTCACTTGGCCTTGCTGTGCTTGGTTTTTGTCCGTCACAGATGGGGAAAATACACTTCCCTGCACCACAGAAGGGTGGCAGAGCTCTCTGTCAGCACTGGGGAGAGGAATACAACAGGGGATGCGAGCTGCTGGGGGTCCCCTGTGGCACAGGCACGGGTGGGACCAGCTGGCACCCCACACAGCCTGCCTGCCTCTCCATAGGCCACTGCTAGAAACTTGGAGCCTGTAAAGCTATTTCTGTCAAATGCTAACTGGAAATCTCAAATCCCATGAGGTAACTCCTTCAGATTAAGATTGTCAGTGAATTTGTAAGAAAATGGTTAATTTGCAGTACCTGGAAAGTCTGCTCTGGAAAGAACAGAAAAATTAGCAATCAATTTCTTCTCATTAGTGACTAATTATGAAGACCTTTTTTTTTTCTCGCCCAGACAGAAGGCCATTAAAAGGCCTACAGCTCTAAAAGCTATCTATAAATCTACCGTACACCAAAGAAAACTTCAGAGAACTGGGAGAAAAGCTTGTGCAGCCTCAGCAGCGCACTGGACGTTTCACTCTGAATATAGTGCTGAGACTCTTGGTCCCTGTGTTTGGGACAGGGCATGAAATGAAGGCAGAAATCTACCTATTTAGGCCTTTAATCAGGGTAAACTCCAACATAATTTTCCAGCTGCTATATATTGTTTTTTAAATAAATAAAAGTAATGACAAGAATGCACACTCATCAGGGGGTTAAACTAAGCAATTTAGTTGTGAACTGGGGCAGCTAAGGTTCAGGTGCATGTTCCAGTTACGAAGCAGTAATCCCCAGCAGAAGGCTGGGACATACAAAAGAGGGCAGTAACGTTTTAGCTGTCACAGCTGAATCTGCTGGAGGATGCTTATCTATCAGAGCCCTACCTCCACAGAAAGCTACGGACAGGATTAGATGGAACTTGTCTTCTGCTGGTATGCAAGCTCGCTTCTCTTCAGAGAAGTTTGCAGAAGTAAGAGGCCGTGGATGCATTCATCTGCTTCGTTTTGCTTATCTCTTCTCCGTCTTACAGAGAAGCTCAAAACTGAAGAGTTTGGTTGCAGGTGACACTGGAAAATTAAATACTTTGTTTGCTGCAGAAGTCTAATTTCTGTCTTGAAAAGGGAGAGCATCTGTTGATGGTCCATGTAGGTCAGTAGTCAGTCTTATAAAGGATGCCTTGTAGAAGGATTTACAGTCAACACAATGATCGGTATTTTCTGTCATCTCATAGTTTCCATTTCTTTCATGAGTCTAGCTCCTCTCTTCTCAGTTTACTTAAGCCACCTGTAGTGGCCATGGCAAGAAGATTTACAGTTCAGTTATGCGTTGGATGGGCAGAACAACAACACTTCACATGAAGTGTTTTAAACCCCTCGTACCTTTATTGATATTGCCCTAATTCTTCTACTCTGACTGAAGACCTCTTTCTGAAAGCACTTTCAGGGTCTATCGTTTCCAATTACTGTTAGTTTTAGGTGCTTTCTTTCTAAGATAGGACAGTCACAGTAGAAGGAAGGTGACAAGAAGTAATTTGCTGAAGCCCTTCAGTGGATACCTGTATGGTTATGAAGTGCTGCCCTTGTGAGATGATGCTGAAGATGAAGTTGGATGTATTCAGTCCTGTACATCCTGAATGTTGGAATGCTAAAAATATTTTCAAAGCTGAGTTATCAGGGTAGCTAATGGAGATATGTTTTTTGGGTTGTTATATTGAATTCAGTGCAAGGTGCTATGCAAAAGAAATGCGTGTGCTTGAATGTGACTTTTCTTTGCTCAATGTATTGCTTAGGTGTGTGTGTTCAGTCTAGACAGACATCAGAACAGAGATTTGATATATTTCCAGTTTCTTGTCCATGGTTAAACTTTAAAAAAATAATAATAATAAAGAAGATAAGGAATTGAAAGACTGAATTGAAAGACTTAAGTTAGGGATCAAATCCTTGTGCAGGCACTGATACAGTAGAAAGTGTCAGACCAAACTTGCTTTCAAATCCTGTTTTCTCGCATAACCCTGCCTTGCCTCAATACTGAAACAGAAATTCTTCTACCAGTTGCAGTCTTTCATTATGGGAACTTTGACCTCAGCATTATCAGTTTTAGTGAAATGTCTGCATGAGAGAAACCATACAAATGCAGTGAAAAGGCGAAGATCCCTTTGAAATGCATGAAGGCAGTGTTCAAGAATCACTTCAAAAGCAGGAAAAGTACTTCTTCCAAGGAGCAGCTTGGCTTGAGCAGTGCAGTTTGTTGAACTGTAGCATGCTTTGTTGCATCAGTTCTGCAGGTTGCTGTAGCATGGGATATTGGGAAGCAGGACTTGAATGTTTTTATACTGAGCTTTTATAACGAGCACTTTATATTACTCTACATGCGTTTGAGAGTTGTAATGTAAATATAATTTCTAAAATTGTTATTTCAAACTAGAGGATTTTTTTTGCCTTTCTGATGTGTAGGGAACGTTACTTGAACTCTGTAGCCTCCCCTCTAAGTCAGCCTTTTTATTCCTGTAACCCACGTGCTTGTACCAACCTCCCCCCCACCAGCACTAAGAACCAGCTGCTTTTGGTGATTGTTTTATAGACCCTTCACCAAGTTCTTAGACAGGACAGCCACAAAAATAGTTGGAGCTGTAAAGAGCAGCAGGTGTTGTATCATAAATATGATAAATAAACTCCTCATTAATATCACATGGGCCTCCTTAAGCATGTAGGTTCATGGTCATGAAAGCTTCTCCCACAGTTTTGCTGTTCTGGTTAGGTTGCAGCCTAAACCACCTCCTGGCCAGCTGATGGCTGTTAGTTCTGGTATCAGCAGCCTTTCTGGCTTATTCCCCTCCCTGATGCTTATCCTTATTGCTAACGAGGGCAAGTGTACCTGCTGTAAATCACTTTGTGATACTAACTGGGTACTTCCCAGGGTTGTACGTGCGTTTTTCACAACTGCATCTTGGTGGCAATTGAGGTATTTTGTGCTAGGATCATCCAGGCCCTTCTGCTCCAGGACTGGTCATCTTTCAGCATCTGGCTGGGGCTTGCTTGTTTTACATATGGGGCTGTGCTTTGTATATTAGTGTGTTTCCATCCCACTTGTATGGTTCCAGCCTTTGAGGTCGTGATGCCTGTTGTATGACAGCTCAATTCACGTTTGTGTTGAAATTGCTTCCCAACTTTGTCATCAGCTTCTGTCATTTTTTATTTTTATTTTTGTACGCAAGCCATCGTTTGGTTAAAATGAACCAGAAGACTGATTTTTTTGGCTTATGCTTAATGTGTTCATTAGTAACTTTGAGAATTTCTGCAACTTTTTCTTTCCACGCTGTCTGTCACCATCTCTCTTGGGCCTGGTGTCACTGTTCCTCTACTGGTCTCCAACTTTGCTTACTTAACATACCACCACATGGAAAAGTATGATTCAGTGTTTTCTGGAGATCCAGATAGCCAAGAATTACTTGCACTTATTTTTAGTAATCTCCCTTCAGCAAACTTGTTATGTCCTAGTCTCTCTGTAACTTCATGTTTTTCTCCATCAGTCTTTGCTGAAGTCCTGTGCGCCATTGGTGCCACATGAGTTCTGTAGTCATTTCTATGCACAAAGTCAAACTGCATCATAAAAGCACTAATATTAAAGTCTTGAAATGAATCTACAGTTTCCACGCTTGGAGGGAATGAAAATAGAAATAGGGTTTGAAAATAGATGAATTTAATCGTGTTGAGCTTTGGTTTCTTGGGCAACTTGCATGAGAAGGAGTTGCAAAAAGTGGTGTATCTCTTTCAAATGCTTGCCTGGTCATCTCTTTCCCTTGTTTCTAATGGCAATGGCAAAAGATGGTGCTACCCTTTGCTCCAAAAAAAACAGCAAATGCATTTTGACAGAAAACCGGCCTTGGGAACGGTGCCAGCCCAGATGGGCTGGCTGGCAGCGAGTCATGAGCTGCCCACAGACCTAAATCCGAGGTAGCCCGTTAGTAGCTTGCTGAAAGGCTAACTAGTGTTTGCTTGTGTCGGCATGATGGTTGCCCAGATTTGTCAGAACTAGGTCAGAATTAAGCAGGTTTTGAATGGCTTGGTGGCCAGGGTAAATATATGCAATGTGATCCTACATGCCCCATCTCTATTTCTGCTCCTCCTATACAGCACCCCCCAATAAACTCAGGTTTAACAGACTGTGATTCGTAGATTGCTGCGCCAACCTTGCCGAGCTTGTAAGGCCTGTGAAATTACATAACAGCCTTTAAACAAGCCACCTCTGGGTGAAGTACATCTCTAATTACTGAGACTAAATTATCTGGAAAGTGAGCTCGTGTCTGAAGTAAATCTTCAGTTCGGTAAATCTAAAATTAAATAATGATTAACTTAATTGCTTCAGGATCATAAAAAAAATGCTCTTAATAAAATATAGGGATTAAGTGTGTGTTTTGAGAGTGGATAATTGCTTCTGCTTCATTTTCAAATAACTTCTATCAAGACAGGGTTTTGTAGGTAAAAGAAATACCTTTTGTTATGCTTATTAGTAAAGCTAGGAAAAGTAGGCTAGTCCTTAAGTATGCAAGCCCCTTCTCCATTCTGAATAGAAGCTGCAATTTCACTGCTAGATATAAAATGAGAACATTTGCTTTTAATTTCATGGATATGTGCCAGTCAGACCTTCTGAAAGCAATAGTAGTCGTTACCTGCGGAGCAGAGTGTAATACTAGTATATAGGAAGAATTATTTTTTTCTTTGGGGAAAAAATAAGAAAAAAAAAAAAAAGAGAAAGATGGGTAATCTTCGTAGAGAGCGGTTGAGTTAAAGAATTTGTGAGCAGGGTAAGCAGCTCTGTGTTGTTTGCATTGTATTTTGCTTTTAAACAAAGTATTTTCACCTTCGTTCATTGAAGAATGTCTTTTTTGCTTATAGGCAAATGAGAAAGCAAATCTCTTGAAACATAAGCAGTGGTACTTCCCTGGAGGGAGGAGATGGGAATTCTCCTGTTACTCTGAGAGTTGCCAGGTGCCAGAAGTGGTCCACAGTGGTGGTGGTAAGAAAGAAATCTTCCCCCACGTTTCTGTATTTGCATTTTGTCTGTAGCAATAAGATGCTTTTAGAAGGAAAAAAAAAAAAAGTGCAAATCCTGTTCTTTTCATAGATCTGTATGAATTGCTAGGAGAGGCATCAAACGTCTCCCACTCTTGGTATTTTAATTTAGGGATGAAACCTGCGCTTCAGCCCGGTGCTTGCTGTAGTGTTCGCTCACGCGCTTTCTTGAATGCTGTATCTGTTGGTAGTAATTGCAGCAAAGACTTAACCACAAATAAACCTCTAGAGGACTCTATAAATCCTAAATTGTCTCCCCCCCCCCCCCCCCCGAAGTGTAAAATAGGAACCGTGGCCTTATAGTGCTTTGAAGTGCTTCTTACAAAGTTCTTAGAAATCTTTTGAATGCTGATTGTAGGGTCATCTTAGACTGGGCTGCCTTTAATCCAAACATTCTTAAATTTTAGCTGGTAACAACATATAACAATGTTAAGTTACAGCAGCAAAATTCTTATTATTGACCTTTTTTGCAGTCTCTCATGCATAAAAGGTGACAGCAAAAGTGGAAGGCTGATGAGACCCCACTGACACAGCAAGAGGACAGTTTTTCAGGGTAAGATTTTAAAACCCCGAAGTGTCTAGTGTCAGATGTTGACATTTTAATGATGATCTCCGTGATACCCTGCCCTCTTTGTGGGCTATTAATAGCTTTTTTATAGGAAAGTAATTTACTCCTGGTGATTTTGCACACACATGCAGCGTTGCTTTAGTATTTTAAAATGTTTCAAGGTCTATTATAGGATGAGTCTTTTGCCACAAAACTTTAATCTTTGTGAGATTTTCTTCAAAGCTCAGATTTGCAGAGCAATACCTACTGGATCATCCACAGACTGTTCAGGGCATGTTTTCTGCCTCCATGTAAAGGTATACTCCATTTGAAGTTCTAGTTTTCCCTGCTATGAAAAAATGCTAAAGCATTCATCATAGGTTATATTGGGTGGGCAAATAACCACTTCTGTGAGTCCCAGGTATTCTTGGACCAAATTTTACACATACATTAGTTATTACACCTGAATCTGGTTAATATTGATCGTCTGCAGCTTTGGTAGGTGAAGGGATGCAGATGAACAAAGCCTTGTTACAGTGTGGTGGTGACCAGCTACTTTCAGAGCCAGTTCTGCAGAATGCTTTTACTCAGGCTCATTGCCATCAGTGTAAAAGCAATACCCAAGCGATGTGTGAAAACCTATTTTTTGTGGATTTGCCGTTTCATAGCTTATTTTTTCAGTTTATACAGCCCCAATTTTTGCCTTTCTTCTTTTTGTGTAAGGCCTGAAAAAGCCATTGATGCAAGTGTTACTGAGAAGCAAAGATATGCTGGTGGGGGACAGGATTGTATGAATTGTGCATGGCTGCTGAATTTTCAAGTTCTGCTTCTGTTTGGACTTGAGCTTCTGGTATCCAGCCCTGCAGGCTGCAAAGCCTGGTGCCTGTGCCCCTTGTGTATGCGTGCCTGGGTCTTTTATCTCTGGTCGATGGAGCCTGCGAGGAGGAATCGTCTGGAAACGAAATGTCCTGAATGAGGTGGATGGCCATGCTGGAAGCTGCATGGGTTGAATAATCCCATGAATAATTCCTTCACCACCTTGATTGTTTAGATAAATCCAGAGCGGGTCGATAGATATTAATATGGATTAGAGAAATTTTACTGAGAGCTTTTCAGTGTCCCAGTGGACACTTCTTATGCAGAGCAAATCTCCATTTCATGAACCAAAGCACAAATGGTACCAGCAGGCACGCACTCAAAGAGGTGAGGGACTGACTTATGGGGAGGCTGAATTATGATAGCATTTCTCGTAATGGCTGGCCCCTCTTGTTGAGGCTCGTGCATAAGCAGAGGCCCTATGGGTACCATCTGCTGTTTTTGTCCTTACTACACGTCTTCGTGGGGAGATTTCTTTTTCTCAGGCTTGCCAGCATGACAATTTTGTAGCAATTATTGGAAGAGTCATTTTTAATATAAATTTAGTTGGGGGTCACAGGAAAAAAAAAAAAGGCAAAGACAAAGATCCAGCAGGCTACAACAAGAAGCAGCTCACAAAAGCAGCAATGACAATCGCAATTTCAAGAGTTTCTTTTAGTTCAAGCAAGGAGAAACGTAAAGTACGTTTTGTGAGATTTTCTTCAAAGCTCAGATTCACAGAGCAGTACCTACTGGATCATCCACAGACTGTTCAGGGCATGTTTTCTGACTCCATGCAAAGGTATACTCCATTTGAAGTCGTAGTTTTCCCTGGAACAGAGGTTGGCTCTCCTTATGATTTTCATCTGGAAGAAGTAAGTGTACCGATTGTGTTTTGTGAAGCACTCAGTCGTCATGACTTTTGAAGAGAGCGGGACTACACCACTCCCAAGTTTTGATCCCCAGGAGGCTGAGGGAAGGGGCAGCACTGTCAGAAGATGCTGGCTGCGCTTGGGAGCAGGACCTGGCACTGTTCAGTCCTGCCAGCGTGGTCAAGGACCAGTCTGAGCATGGGAGATTCAGTGGAAATCAAAGGCCCATAAGCTGAATCTCCAGGCCGCGGGCAAGAGAATTTTATAACTACTGCCTCTAAGAGCAGGTGCCTAATTGCAACTTAAGTTCTAATTTAGGCTCTTAAAATTTTATGAATTTGCTCTGTAGACTGCCTTGCTTAAGGCTTAGCTTTAAAAAAGTTTGCTGTTAGAGCCCATTTCATTTAAAATAGATGCACTGTGGAGCTGGATTGTGCAGGGACCGGCTCCCTTTCTTCAGCCAACTCCTGATTGCCTAGTAGGGATGTTTATTTTGAGAGAGAAAAATAACCCAAACTAAAAACACTGTAGAAGAAGCTATAAAGGCATGTGCTATTATGTATTTATAATTGCTCTGAAAATGTAAATGTCGCAATGGGAGCAGTTGTTTTCACTTGTTTTTTAAGTTGTGAAGGCCACGTGTTCAGGACCTTTTGGCAGTATTTTCCGATGCAGCAAGGCGTACAGATGGGGGAATATGAATGCTGTTGCAACCAGTATTAATATTATGCCACGTAAGCAAGGTCAGTTCTATCACAAGGCTCTATGCCTTGGTCATCTCCTTAAGGGCGTCTCTGTTTTTGCTTTGGTTTTGGTGTTCAGGTTTATTTGGACCAGTAGACTGATGCACAAGAATGGTTTGGCTTGAGGCTGCGGAGTTGGAGATTACACAAACATATGCATTTGTGGTTGAAAAAGGCTGACAGATAAAAGATACCCCTCTCGGAGGAGAACATCCTTTGTTACTGCCACAGCGTGACAACAGAAAGGAGGAAGCTGAGGGCAGCGAGAGGAGATAATGTGGCTGCTGGGCTGCTGCGACAACTGTGTTGCTCCACCATGGAGGAGAAGGGCTGTGCAGGTAGGGCAGCCACTCAGGCTGCTTGGCGACACTGCCAGGTCTGTTGGACAGGGATTTTGCACGTCCCCTCTGGATGGCTGTCAAGGAAGACACTCCTCTACTCTTCTAGAAGTTTCTGCCATACTCAGTAAGGAATCGTGTAGAGATTTTGGATATGTATCAACGTGGGAGCAAAAGGGCTAACGTACAGAAGCATCCTCTCTTGCAATTCCTTTTCTTCTGTTGCAGGGGTAGGGATGCTGCTTACTGTTGTGATGTGTACCTCAGAAGGGAAACATCTTCGCTGTTAATGACTGCGGGCTAATGTAGAGCTAGGATATTTGGTAACACAAACTTACAGCTCAGTTGCATGTGCTGCTGTGTTCAGGCTGCTCATCCCTCATGCCTGCCAGTACCGATTTATTAGATTTAGTTAGATTAACTGCTCCCCATTCAGCCTCCTGAAATGATCTGTTTTTTATAAAATAAAAATTCCAACATTCTGAACAAAAAAAATTAAAAAATATGGTTTAGCTTAAGATACAACTTGGTGCTGTTAATTTTTTTTACAGTCCTGGGATCAGTAAGTACTCTAAAAGCAGTCGCACAAGCAAACCTCAGGGCATGCTAACCCTAAGGAAGAGTTAAGAGTGAGCCTCTTGCAGTGCCTGGAGTAGGACCTGTGAGCAGTCAGTCAAATCAGCTGTCTAAATAAGCTCCTAGTTGCCCAGAAGTAATGAAATCAGTTACAGAAAAATACTTACTAATGCAGCAAAGTTTGAATTATTACAGATATTTCCAAAATCTGGCTGCTTACAATAAAGGTAAGAGGAATTTAAACAGAGTGATTCAATGGAAGTAATAATTCCTGTTTGGTGGGCTTAAAAGTGAACAGAACTGACTTCAGACTTAAGAAGCAGTTATACATTGCTGAGTAAATAGCATGAAGGTTCTTGTTGTATATCTTGATTGGAGAAATATTGATTCTTTTAAATCAGTTTTGGTAATTAGAGCAGTCTGTTTATTTAAAATGAAGCTAGCCTGGTTTGCTAGACTCACTGTCTATAAATGTGTTCTATATTAACACGTCACATTGAACTGCAGGCAGTTTTTAATATGCTTGAATATCTGTTTTTTTGGCATATAATTGCAGATGAACTAAGGGTTATTCTGGCAGATAAAAATGAATCATAAGAGCATAAATGCTGCTTCTCAAACCATTACTCTTCCTGACTGAGGTTTTGAAGAGCAGTGCCAAGCTAGCAGCGATGGCATTCAGAAATCAAGCATGGCACATAGGTTCTTTTGAATGTGAGGCTTTTCTACAATAAACACCTCTGTTTACTAATTAGTTTCTAATTTTTCAAATGACAGGGAGCAATTTTTGATTTGGCACTCCAACTACTCTGAAATGATGCGAGCTCCAAGAGAAACGGGTGCCTGCTTTCATACTACTAATTTCAGCTGATGCTGCTTCTGGTGCTTTATAAACGTGCCAGGTAACAGAAAACAACCTCTGCTCCAGTGATATTGTGCATCTCTGACAGAAGTGGAAGTGATAGTGTGGAAGGTATTGAGATGTAGAACCTTCCATGCACACAGCTGTCCGCCTTGCTCGGGGTTAGGTCATTGAGAAATCTCCCACAGTTGGGATTAGTGTCAGTACTGTGACACCTGTAGGACTGAGAAGGTACTCACAGCATCAAGATTACTTTTAATGTCCTTTTGTCTAGATGCAGTCTGAGCTAGTTTATGTGACACGATGACAAAAAGAGCAGAGAGCATCTGTCAAAACTTGCGTGCTTTTTCTGTTGTTTGGGGAGCCGCCCTCATGCAGACTAGCTCTGAATTCCACTAGTGCAACAAAAGCATGCGTTTTTAGTGGGCTAGTCATTTCAAGTATCCCTGCAGCCTTCAGTAAAAAGATATTTAGGTCACGTCCCTCTCAAACACTGCATTAAAAGGCTACTGTTTGGAGGAAGCAAAACAACGAAACTGAATCATGAAAACGCTAACCGGTCCTCAATTTCTGATCATTGTTGGAGTTCAAAGTCTGCATGTGTTACCACAGAAGGGACCCATGATATGAAGAATTCATAATAATTTAACTATATCCTACAAGAGACGTGTTTATCAATAGGATGCCAAGCTACCAAGAGATGAAAGATCTTAAGGAACAAGGAGAGCTATAAATGTTTCTTTTCAGATCTTTCTCTCAT